TGGTGATTCAGTAATAAAGCTGCATTTAACTTCAGTTTCATCTGCCAGTCTACAGTCTTTGGGTCCAATCGTGCCTGCTGCACACAGCTGGTTTATGACACTAACAGGCACACACCTCCCTCTAGTGGTCACATTAAGTTCAAACATAGAAAAAGTGTTGGACACCTATAACATAGTCGCTGGGGAGACTGTTATAGGGGAGCTCTGTCCCAGATGCCTCATCATCAAAGGCATCATTATGTGCAGCATCTTTATGGATTTATTTCCTTTTCTGGTTTAAATGATTGTTTATGCTCTTGAACTGTGGACACAGAGTCAGAATCCAGTGAGATAACTGTGTCATCATCACAAAACTTTATGCAACTTCTACAAGGATTATTGATTTATTCAACTTTTATTTAAACAGGAAGTTAAACACTCTTTCGTGTCCTCGGCCAACTGAGTCAGCTTTAATCTGCGATCTTTTCAACAGCAGATTCCCACGGTGCCCAGTAGCACTGACTCCAATGGTGCTGAAGTGTTTAGAGAGACTGGTAAGAGATCACGTCGCTCCTTCACTTCCTGTCACCATTGACCCACTTCAGTTTGCATACCAGACTAATCGTTCCACAGACGACGCCATATCTCACCTGCTCCACACATTGAGTGGCTCACCCCGAGCCACCGAGACACCGGCAGAGGGGATCAAGAGTGACATGCCTCTGCTGACTACAGGTATTTTCAACACCTCTCTGTGGTGGAACACATGGAGAAAGAGGAGCAGCAGATTCAGTGTAAAACCTCGACGTGACGCTCGTGTCGCTGGATGATCTCCTCCACAGCAGAACAAAGGTCCAAATAAAGAGAATGAGAGTTTCTCCTCACGTGTCTCCTCATGGTTTATGATATAAATCTGCTAATTCTCATTAGACATATTAATCAGAAAAGCAAACTTAACGGCCTCAGCATGTCTGTCATCAGTCTGTGTGACAGCAGGCCTGATCCCTCACAGTGAAATCATCTCTCACCCTGGAGTTAAAGGAGCTTTCTCATGAATACTGGGCGACTTTCCAGCCAGCTCTTTAATTTCATCATCACATTTATGCCATAATTTAGCTCAACCGATCAGATTAAAAGCGAGTTGTTTTTTTAAATAACAGTAATTTTGTAATACTGAAAGACGTAAACTTTTAGTCCACCATCATGTTTTGACTTACACGAGTTTTAAATCATTTCTTTTTTAAATTTTCTATATCATAT